TGCAATTCTGGTTTCGGATTCAGTGCATTGGCATACATAGAGAAAGATGTTTCAAGTCTTTGGGTGTGACAAAAACCATCGAAAATAAAAAAAAAATACAATAACACGGTGTTTTTTTGTGATATACATACTGGATGGTGATGGCACAATTCTGGCAGAATTCAGATTCGGAATCTGCGCATCCACATACATAAAGAACCACGTGTCAAGTCTTTGGGTCTGACTTTTTGTGTGTGCTTGGGTAATTAGAATGAATCACATTTTTATTGAAACTGAAATTTACATTAGCACTTAATGTTTTAAAAAAACAACAATATTTTCTTGTAATTTTGATTCCACATGGCCATCCAGTATGATGGTTACGAATTTAACTCACAACACACTCTTCGAAATGATATTGTGGAATTCCTTTTGAATCTTGAAATGGCATCGGTGAAAACAAAATTATAGTTTTCGTTCTGCAAAGATATTTAGGAGTCGAAATAGACCATAGACTCAGCTTCGGGCCCCACATAAATGTGATGGCAAAGAAGGCGGCGAGGACAGGAGCTAACATAGCAAGAACGCTACGGAACGTCGGTGGACCGAGAGAAGCCAAGAGAAGAATGATATCTGGCATAGTTCACTCACAGTTGTTGTAAGCTGCCCCAGTCTGGGCGGGTTCACTGGAGAAGCTGTCTATCAGACACAAGTCCGCCCAAGTATAAAGACGAATGACCTTGAGGGTGACGTGTGCCTACCGCACAGTGCCTACCGCACAGTGCTGGTATTGGCCAGTACACCACCTATCGACTTAACAACCATGGAAAAAAAGAGGACGTACCTCGCCTTAAAGGAAGCACAAGCAGACAGTCATCTCCCTCCCAAGCAAATTGAAAGTATTAAAGCAGAAGCGAGGAAGTTGCTCCTTGAAGAATGGCAAGGAAGATGGGATGGGGATGTCAAAGGCAGATGGACTCATTGGTTGATTACCAACATCGAGAGATGGGTTAGACGAAGTTTTGGGGAGGAGGGTTTATTACCTGTCCCAGGCTCTTACGGGACATGGGGGATTTACTAAATACCTCTATGATTTCAGGATCGTAGAGAGGCCCACATGTAGTCTGTCCCGCAGACATAGATGATGCGGAACACACACTATTCCAGTGCAAGGTTTGGGACGCGGAACGAGAGGTTTGTAATGCTAACCTCCAACAAGTTATAAATCCAGACAACATGGTCAACATGATGCTGAGCTCGCAGGAGAAATGGAAAACCATAGAGAACTTCAAAGAAGAAAGAATTAAGACAGAGGAAGTAGAGCATCTGCTACCAGCCAATCTCCTGCGTGAAGTAATGCCTAACGACGGGTTCCACGTGGGAGAGAATACGGTTTAAGAGACGGAGGTTCGTTTTTTAGTCGGTAACCTAGTTGGGAGTCCGCAAACACCGGCTTCACTGGTATCCATGAATGATTTTCCTCCTCCTCCTCCTTTAAAATAATAATAGCAACAACAATAATAACAATAACAATAATAATAGCAACAACAATAATAATAATAATAATAATAATAATAATAATAATAAAAATAATAAAAATAATAATAAAAGATACATATTAATTCTGTCAGCAACAACATAAAATTTAACAATATTAGTACATTCTATATTTAAAACTTGAAATGGTGAGGAGGAGGAGGAGGAGGTGGCAAGTTTTGACCAGTTTTTTTTTTCTTTCAATTTGTACACATAGTCCATTCTACAGCAACACTAGTTTTATTTATCATACGCTGTTACATACAAGTAGAAACTTTAATGAAAATATTTCGTGCTGGTTTTCAGAAAATACTTTTAGATATAGCACAACTTTCAGACACTAAGCAAGCAAAATCAGCTATTTTTTCCAAAAATAATAGCATTGTACGTGACCTTTTTTAATGAGCTGATTTTGTCTAACAAACTTTGAGGCAAAAATAGTTATCTACAATTTTGTAGTTTAAATTTTTGTTACAATTTTCGAAAAACAGAACAATACCGTAAAGTGCCACTAGCACAATATTTATTTACTGTTCTTTATTACAAAAAAGATGGAAATTTAAACAAAAACTTTCGGGCTTTTTTTTAAGAAAAAATTGCTATAATTCCTAAACCAAATTTCGCAAAAACGTGTTCATGACATTTTTTAAAGAGACAGTTTTGTACAACATACTTTGAGGGAAAAATTTCAATTTTGTAATTTTAATTTTTTGTAATTATATAAAATTTGAGGATGTTAACGAAAGTGAGGTATTTACCATTCTGTTAAGTCCTTCTCACTATTCAACGAGAAATTTTAATAAAAAATATTTGGGGCCGTTTTTGAGAAATTTTGAAAGTGTTTTAAGGCTTCATGTGAAGTACCCTCAAAAATAAAAATATGTTTGAAAATCCCCAAGCCACAAGCTTATTCCGATCGATTGAGGATTATCAGTTTTGAAGAAAAGTGGCTGAACGGTTTAGGCGCTAGCGTTGTTTTGCCGTGAAACGATTTTCCGGCAACAAGAACCAACAAAACTTGAATTCTGGTTACACTACGAGTTATAGGATTCTTTTTTTAAATTTAGCAACAAAATTTATCCACTTTCGTTACCAGAACCCGGCAATAAGGTTTTTTTCTGTCGAAATTTCAGCATTTTTGGCGTTTACATAACTTTCTCTAATAAAGTAGAAATCGTAAAGTGAGAAAGTACAAAGAAAGTGGGGAATGTTATAATTACTACAAGAGCATAAGCATAATGCTAGTGACATCAAAAATATTTGCAAATTTAATAAGACAAAGACTAATCAAAATCGGAGAAGAAAAAATCATGGAAGAACAATGTGAATTTCGCAAGGGGAAAAGTACAATAAATGCGAATTCACACTCCAATAGATTATAGAAAAATGGAAAGAACATTACTTACTATTTATATATCGTTCATTCACTATGAAGAGGCCTATGTCAATGTGAATAGATATAAGTTATGGGAAATTCTTAAAGCAGAAACAGTACTAGAACATTTAATCAAAAATATACAGAGCCTGTACCAAGATTCCATAATAGTTATTAAAAATGACCAAGGCACAACACAGCAGGTGAAGATCAACAAAGGTCTATGAGAAGGATGCACACTGTCACCATTACTCTTTAAAATTTACTTAAATCATGTGACAAAAAAATGTAAACAGAAAACTCAAGCAAGAATAAAGATAACAAACAACCAGATATTAGTGACAATATTATTCACAGACAAACAAGATTTATTAACAAACTCTGACACTACAGAAAGCATCCTTTGAGTTCAGCAAAATAAGCAAAGAATATGAAACGAAAATATGAAGTTAAAAAATTAATACACTAGCCTTCAATGGCAAAGAACATCTTAGAACCAAAATAGTAAGAGAAAATTCAATACTTGAAATAGTTACCATTTTTTAAAATCTTAGAAATTCAGTTGGATTGAACCAGAAGGATATAGAAGAAAAAATACTATGTAATAGAAACAATGGAATAATAGGAGAAATTTTGGACACGTGAAAAGAAACAATGATGAGAATCCATAATATTATATCAAAACCAATGCTAAAGTATAGTTCAGAAATGTGGATAATGGGCATAAAGGAAACGAGAAGCCTAGAAATAGCTCATATGAAGTTTCTAAGAGCAGTGTTAGGAGTGACAGAAAGAGACAGAATTTGAAATGAAACAGTTAGGAAAGAACTGAATACAGGAAGCTTAGCAGAAGAAATAAAAAATTACCAAAGGAAATGGAGGAGAAAATACATGAAAAGAATGGACTAGCTATGTCTACCACAGATGGAGTTAACTATAGTCCAAATGGCAAGAGGGATTGAGGGAGACTGACAAGATGTCATCAGCAGGAACACTTCACCACATAAAGGAATACTGCTTTACTAGCCACTAACAGGACAGGAACACCGGTCCTAAACCGAGGGCGGGGGGGTTATTATGATGATAATGCAATGATACATTTTTGTTGAAATTTACTACCAGAAATGATTGCATTGAGTACAAAGAATCATTAGAAGATCAACAGAAATTCTAAGGCAACAAAATCAAAATACTTGAAGAGAAATGGAAATAAAAACTGCTGGGAGATAAAAAGAGAAAGCTAGATGAAAAATTATTAGAGAATATTGAAATTAAGAATAAAACTTCCAGGCATCATGTAAGTTTGTTTTTAAGTTTCATAGATATTTTTGCAGATTGCAAAAATGTTGAGTATTATAACGAATACTGCATCACCTGCCGTGATTCGCTGCACGGATTGCGTCATCCCCCCCCCCCCCCCCGAACTGGACGGTTCCGGGCCATTCGCGAGTCGCGTAGAGGTGTTGCTCACTTTCCCGAAGGCTTGAGACGAGCGCCGGCCAGGTATAAATTCGCCGCTGCCGGCGGCCGTCAGAGTACTGTGAAGGTCCGTCGCGAACCTTCACAGACAATTTACACCTAGCAGTAAAACGCAAAAGGCGTGTGCACTGCAATTTCGATCAAGTATCCTTTGATCAATACGATCATGATGGGATCGAATCACCACACCGACCTTCGGCTACGCCGAAAAAAAAAAGCCATCAGAGTAGTAGTCGGAAGTAAGCAGCCGCGAGTCAAGTGTATGTAATCAGTCAAGTAGTAAACAGTCAGTCCTTCAGTGTGTCTTCAGTCCTGAAGTGGAAGCTGAGCTGCAAAGTGTGCATTGCGGTGAACAGTGGGGCAGTGGGTGAACAGCAGTCTGAAGTCTGCAGTGGAAGCTGAGCTGTGAAGTGTGCATCGCGGTAAACAGCAGTGCAGTGGACCCTGGTGTGCGCTGTGAGTGGTGGTCTGCGCAATGGACCGTGGACAGTGCATGGGACTGTGCGATAGTGTAGATTGCAGAGAACAGTGTAAATAAATAATCAGAAGAAGTGAAATGTGTAAATAAATAATCAAGAGAACGGAGTCTTGTGTAAGGAAAATAATCAAGTGAAGAACACTTAGACTGTGTAATATATATGTAAATAGATCAAGTAGTTTTAGTGTATAATTGTTTACGAATAAACGTTTTTGTTAAATATGAGTGTGTTTTGATTCACCATGGAGAAATGTTACAGTATAAAATGTTGAAATGATGTTATTTTAATTTAAACATTTAATGGGTTTCTATCTTTTATAGATTTTGATTGAGGAACATTTTAACAAGTGTTCAGGATTTTTTTTAAATATTGCTATAGACCCTTATGAGAACCCTCTTTTTAGTGTTCAAATGTGAGCATTAGAATTAGTTGTAAGTTTTTGCATGATATTTCTAAATGAAGTTCGACATTAAATGTATCCGTGAAGGGACTAGTTTTTCAAACATTGCTTACAGAATTTAGAGGAACTTGTGTGTGGGTTGTTTTTATTGAATCACAACAGCAGGGCAACAGAGAGACGAGCTGGTGTTAAAAATATAGAGTAGGTAGGTGGCATAAATTGTTTAAAAACAACTAATAAAAAAGTTCAATGAATGCACTGCCTTTTGATTCTCCATAATAAAAATGAAGATAAACTAGTTTCCTCGACCTCAACAATGGACCTTAGACATATTAATAGTTGAATTTATTCATAATCATTTTTTAAGTAAAAGGTTAGGAACTCTTCCTGAAACAAGAATTGTGAATTTAATTTGCTTTCCCTATTTATGTAATTTGATCTTTATATCACTATTGCAAAGAGTTATTAGGTTTAAAAATTGCTCTGTAAAATGTAACCATGTTTATTTTTCAGCTATTGCTGTTTGATTTTCTATAGTACTACTAATTATTTCTTATTTGTTGCAGGCTAATTGCTTTGAAGGCTTTGAATGAAAGGTTGAGCAAAGTGGAATCAGACTCGATATCTAGACAATCAAAAGAACCATATGAGACTAAGCATATAAGTCAATGTGTTACCATTCCTATACCCAAAGAAGATGCAGAACCTCAGTCACTCCCGGTTAGTTCTCTGGATTTGACCACACCATCAAACACAGACTATGAAAAAACTTAATAAATTAAGTAATTGCCTTGTAAGTATTGTTTGGATTTGTTATTGAAATATTAAAGAATATTGATTTAAGTATTGAAAAGTGACGGTGAATTATTTGGTGAGCGACTCTGAAACATAGTTCCCAGAGAAGTTAACTGTTGTAATTCTTTAATCAGAAAAGTTCATTGATGCTGAACATTAGTGTTTTATATTTTATGTAAATTTAATGAAATACAAGTCAGAATCCTTTGGATTCCTCCTGAAATTCATGTATTTGTTTGTAGATGAAATTTTATTCTAGCGAATTTGTATGTATATAAAAGGAATCTTATGTATAGAGGGAGATCATATAGTTGCCTTTAAAACTCTTCTGCTCAGCATAAAAATGACATTGTTGTAAAAGTATTGTTTAAAACAAAGTTTCTGTTTTATGTGTAAAACATTAAATTTATATATTCTCTGAATTATTGTGTGTTATTGATGAACTCCTATAATACCAGGAATTGAGTGAATCTTCCTTCACAATGAAGAACTGCCTTCTAAGAAATACTACTGGGCTATAGCTTTGAACTTCAAGCAATTCCAGTCCTATTCTAGTGTGCGAATGTTTAAATAAATTTTAACTAAAGTTTGTGGGGATGTTTCTTTTATTTATTTGTTTTAGAACTGATATCTCTGACAGAAAATGTAAGATTCTAAACACAATAAGGGAACATTTTGAGTTAACAGTGAAAAATAAATTTGAGATGGTATTCAAAAAATCATCAAAAATTATTTCCAAAATTAATGTTTCCCCACAAAAAGTTAAAAATCAGGACCAGTTCTAGACAGTAAGCAAAATAATGCATATTGCAGCAGCGACAATTGAGTACCCTGAGATTAAGGTAATCCTGAACTCCAAGCATACTATTTACTCAGCCCATGAACCCGTGTCCCTGTAGTTTGTATTGACGTTTTTTGAGCGTCTGGGCTACAATACAGGTTCAAAATTTGCTGGTCATCATTTGGTTTGACAGATGCCAATAGGTTGAAAGTGACTTTGGGGAGTTCTTTAGTTCTTCAAGCTGTGGAATGTCAATAAATTTGTACGAGCTGAAATATGAATGCTGCAAGTAAACAAATTTATCATCTTTCTGTACGAGAAATTGTTCTGAATGCAAAGAGGCCCTTTTTTTCTTGTAGCCTTTGCTCAGAAATTTTCTCCATTGAAGAATTTTTTCTTGACTACACAACTTCTTCCAGCACAAAAAAGGGTGCTCGGTCCTTCTTGCATTTTCAAATATTTGGCCAATCAGTGTGTGTTTCACACATTGCTTTTGTATTAACTAGCCCCATGTTTTTGTCAGTTTCTCAAAATGAATGGCCTCTGAATGGAAATGTTATCTGGATTCAGTGAAACAGATCTTTTACGTGCAGCAAAAATGGCAGAATCAAAACGTTACAGTTCTTATTCTTCACAGAACAAGAATCGTGAAATATGACGAGTTCTCAAATATTATTAGTTACAACTTCAAAAAACTAATGCCATAGCATAGAGCACATTTCATATGGACCATTCTTTGAAATTGTTTGATCGTAAATACTGACTTTTCCGCAGCAAGATCATGAATGTTAAATTAATAGAACGACTGCTGTTGCTGAGAGTGAACTTTGTTACCTGAAATGTCAAAAATAGTTAGGTTTTCTGATAATTATCAGAAATGGTCTATGTATCATTCAATTGATATTCTTGTTTCCGATTTTCTACAATTCCTCTGCTCATATTGTTAGATTTCATAAAATTTGACTGCCTTCCATTTGTGTAGTTCATTTTGAGTGAATAATCTTTTTTCTTCTTTATTATGTTATGCAAAAATACTTCATGGCTGGGAAACATTACTTTATCACATTTAACTAAATCTGCTTGGAATTTCTCACATTTGATGAACATATCCTACCTGGGATAACCAAAACTTGTATTATTTTTAGTCACAAAAATTACACGATATTATTAATAAAATACAGCCTTGTTTGGATATCTTTGGAAATACATATCATGTAGTTTCTTGATACATTAAACTCTGCGAGTGTTGTGAATACGAGTGGGTGTGGGTGTGTGGGTGGG